TTCAAAATATTATAAGTTGTTTCTATTTTAATTTTAAATATTTCTAAACAGATATACTAGTAAGCTCATTTAAGTTTTATTTATTCTTAAATTTATTATAATAAATTTTAAATAAGTCAAACTGAGAAGAAATAGAATTAAAAATAATTTATATAATAAATGACTCAACTATATTTATGTCTAATATTCTTGAGCTTACAACCTTATCATCCATATCGAGAATATAATATTAAATTTCTCAAATATTGTTATACTATATTTCAATCAATACTTTTATTATAGTGCCAGCTAATTACTTGTTAGTAAATTTAAATTAATCTTTAAATATCCCAATATGTTAGTTGTAAATTACAATAAAGTCTAAATATTATCTTTTAGACTTTTTCTAATAATTTATCTTAATTATTTGTTTCATAGAACATTCAGTAGTTAAGTCTATAATTCTTTTAACTAGTCCAATAAAGATCTATCACACCTAGTATAAATTTCATATGCTCAAGTTATTTATAATAATTTAATCCAAAAAAATATAATATTATAATAATATAATAAAAAAGTATCACTATAATAAAAATAAAATAAAATAAAATATTAAATTTTTAAATAAATATTAAACTATTAATATGACCTATATTTCACCTTTGGATGAAATATTGATACATTTAGTATTTATTCAAAATTATTTATGAAGTACTAATACTCTCCTTGTAGAATAGTATTTTACATTTGGGTATACAACCCTAAACTATAAGGATATACAAAACAGTATCATTATATTCTATCATATAATTATTCGAAGTAGAATTTTCTTTCGGATCATCTAAATCTCCTAATTATGTATGTAATTATGAATATTATTTTTTTTATATCATTTATAACTAATTTTTTAATATAATTTTATAACCTATTGGTTTAGACCACTTTGACACATACAAAGACCAATATAATAATATAAAATATAATTTAAAATATCATATAAATGATAAAATATTTATTATAATTTCAATCTCATAATTCTACTAACCCAAGCCATCTTGGCAACTATTAGTTATATAAAACTTAGTGATATAAGTTACAAATAATATTCATCAAAATTTTTAAATATAATTTATATCAAAATAATTTAATAATAATAAAATAATAATTATAATAATCTTTGAATATTAATCAACATTAAAAAGACTCATATGATAATTGTAATCATTATAAAACATAAATCATATTTTTATGTAAAAAATAAATATTATTTTAATACTTTTAAACATATATTTTTTGAATAACTAAACAAATATCTACAAACAATATTTAAAATTTAATTATCACAAGTAAAATTTTATTAATATGTCATATGAAAATCCTATAAAAGAAAATTATAGTTTATATAGCTTTTTAATTTCATTTGAAACTCTTAAATTAGACTAGTGAACCCTATTTAATTGGGTAGGCCTAAAATTAAGCTAAACATCAACCCAATTAGATCAATCAAAATTAAAATTGATCAAAATATAAAAAAAAATAATCAAAATATGATATTCTTCAAATTTGATCAAAATGTGATTGACCGAATCTAAATTCAATCAAGTAATCAAAATGCAGTAATGATCAAGTATGATTAAAAATAAGTCATAAATATATAATTTTTAAAAGTTAAAACTATAAATTTATTGGGATATATAATGAAAATATATAATTTCTATCGAATTGTCGATAAAGACTATAATTAAAGGATTTATAAGAACAAAACTATAATATAAATGAAGAAACCCTTAATTTTTATTTTATTTTATTTTCTCTTATCGACCACGACAAATGAGAGGCATTCAGATGCCATGGTACGTGGTTGTCTGCCACTTGTGCCTTGCCTACTACCGTTGCACTTGCATGACTGTTTATGTGACTGACCAATGACCTCACTAGTTGATGCGCCATGTTGTCACGCCCACACATGGCTGTTCTCAGTATGCATGAGTTCCTTATCAACAGAACACCTCTGTGACCATGAGCCAATGACCGAGCATTGTCAGCCATCGTCCCACTACGTAGCTGTGCACATGCATCAACCACCCCTATAGATATTGTGATGTGCGATTGTGCTCACGTATCTATCGCACATTCGTTGGGAACTGTGGCTTCAACGTCCAATCATCTCCTACCGTAGCCAACAAATGCCATCGCAGTGGCTTAACTGCAACCATCGATCAAAGGTAGCATTGCATCCACAGTAAATGATACTTGTAGTTGCTTGTGACCAAGGAAGGTCCATTGCTGTAAGGCTATTGCACACAGGTTGCTGCAATCATGCATGCGACCATCATTGGCTACGTACCCCATCACGCTTCCGCTGTGTACATCAACACTTATATGCAATCATTGCCTATGATTAGGCCGACAACCATCGGAGGATACCACCCTTGATAATGCTATTGCCAATAATAAGCTGTCAATGATAGTTCGTTGATCAAACATGAGAAATCTTACATAGCTCGCAAGTAGATGACATGATGTACAAGATAAAAAATGTAGATCAACAACACAAACAATTTGTTCAATCATCGTACAATCAAAATTAGATAACACTTTCGCAACCGAAGAGTGTAAGCAAACATATGTAAACAAAAAATAGATATGACATACTTTAATGATTTATGGTATTCAATTTCAAAACACTAATACCAATTGTAAGTATAAAAAATTATAATTATGCTATTATACATAAAATCTTAATACTATAAACTGAAATCAAATAATGATAGATCAAATATTATGATTCTATACGTTTTGATGCTATTCAGAAAATCTTTATATGATCTACAAATGCACTATCGTCTGATCCAAAAGAAACAGCTATGTTGATCTACAAGGAGAACTATACTTGACTTCTCTTCTCCTCGACCATTATAAGCGATAAAGATCTATAATCTCTCGATGTATAATATAATGTCATATCACATATTTAGTATGTAGGAGGTTTTGTATATTTATAAGTGATAGCAAAGGATCTAAAATAAATAATCAAGAGAATCCTTCGGGTCAACATCTCATTACTATTAGTCTTTCTTATTGTTGTCGATAGCTATAATAAAAATTCAATCAAATATATAATATATCTTATCTAATTAAATAAATCATATAATCTAACATGTTATGTCTGAAAATCTTGATTATCTTCTAATGACTTTTTCTTCCTGTAAAAAAAACTGCTAATTTATTTAAAGACACACAACTCCAGCATTAAAAGTCATGGCTAATTATCATTTGCCATTATTTTTATTTTTTTATTACTTACTACTACTGTCCTCCAATTTTCATCACCTACGCATTATTTGTCTATATGCAACAAAACGTGGATTATATCAAGTCTTCTTATAAGAAAAAACAATAATGAGGATCTTAATTATTTCTAATAACAAGAACTAAACGCAACTCTCAGATCTTGTCTGCGTGTGTAACACAAGCTATTGTCTTACCCTTAACCTTGCATTGCACGAGAACACAATGCCTGCAACCACACTCTTCACTCATCACCACCACGGAGAGAAGAGGTTATATATGTGCTTGTGTAAATATGAGCCGCTTGGCTGCGGCTACGTAGCTTGCTGTGGAAACCCACCCTTTAGTACGACTCTCCTTCCTTTGCTTTCAATGTTCTCTAAGCTTTCTGCACTGCAACTCATCCAGATACAGAGATCTGACTTCCCCCCCTCTTATCTCCTCTCTTATAATTCCCTGTATTCCTCCTCCCCCCTCTCTAACCCCAACTTTCTACACTGCGATACTAGCCTCTTCCTGCCATGAAGCAAGCCACCGTCATCCTCGTGGCGATAGCCATAACCGTAGCTCTCGCTCCGACAGCCATTGGAGACATAGGCGGAGGCCGGAAGAGCCGATTCCTGGCGGCGACGGACGCGAACGGCAAGAAGAAGTGTAGCATCGATCCTTCGGCCTGTTACAGCGCCGGGATCCCGGGGCAGCGCTGCTGCGGCGACCAGTGCGTCGACACGGGCAGCGACCGCTTCAACTGCGGCGAGTGCGGCAGGCTGTGCAAGTTCACGCAGGCTTGCTGCGGCGGCAAGTGCGTCAACTTGGCCGTCGACAAGAAGCACTGCGGGAGCTGCTTCAACCGGTGCAACAAGACCTGCTTATATGGGCTGTGTGACTACGCTTAAGTCACACCACTCTTAATCTCAGGCAGATTAGACTCTTAATCTATTGGTTCCAATGCCAATAAATGCGTCCATGTAATTAGCGCTGCTCGTTGAGCTCCATATAATTAAATGAAAATGAAGGGTTATTATGTCATCACATATAATATCATTTTTAATATTTTATTAATGATAATTAATGGAATTTTTAATTTTTTTGAATTTATCTATTTGATGACATCAAATAGACAAAATAAAGCAATTAAAAATTATGAAAAATATGGGCAAATTTTGAAAAAAGAACTCTTATTCAGTATATTTTTTATCTAATGCATAGAATATCCTTTTGATTCCTTTTCGGATGATCGATTTGTAGGATGAACATATTTAATTATAATATTTTTAGACTATGTTATAATATTTTTATATAAATTTTACATTACATTTTGACACTATGCTGATATATTTTTAGTAATACTAGTAAAACAAATATAGTATTTTTTTTAATTTTATTAATAGTAATTTTAAAGTATTACTAAAAATATTATAGTATAATATAAAAATATTGCAATTGGAACAGTTAATCTTAATGATCGATCCATAGGAAAAAGAAGAAAAAGAGGAAAAAAATAGGTGGATAAGATATTTCAGGTATGAAGGAAAAAAAAGAGTGATGCTAAAGAATTGGGAAAGAGCCCAAAATAGATTTTTTTTTTTGAGAATTTACCTTAAAAATTTTCAAGTTCATAATATAAAATTAAATCGATCAATTAATAATATAAAGATCTAGAATATTCCGTACCGGCCACGATTACGTGTCCTTGGCGACGGAGAAGCCGGTGGGTTGGTCGTCGCTGCATGCCATGCTTCGAGTTGTTGCTTCAACACTTGCACAGCCACCCGCAGAGGCTGCACCAAATCCACGCCGTTCTCATCACCACTGGCTTCCACCTCGCTTCCCCACCGCGCGGCCTCCTTCCCATACGGCAGGGAAGCAGCGCCGTCTTCTTCTACAACTGCCTAATACGGGCTTGCCTACGCCACCGAGACCGGCCCGATATCTCTCTCCGCCTCTTCGCCCAGATGCTCGCCCATGGCGTCCGGCCCAACCGCTACACTTTCCCCTCTCTCCTCAAAGCCGCCGCCGGTGACGCCGCTTCCTCCCCCTCCTCCGGCCGTGCCATTCACGCGCAAGCCGTCCGCCGAGGCCTCCTCCTCGACGACTTCACCAACTGCTCCCTCGTCGATTTCTACGCGCGAGTCGGCGATCTCGATTCCGCTCGGAAGACGTTCGACGAATTGCCTCAACCGGACTTGGCCTCCCGCAACTCGATGCTCCACGCGCTCTGCGTCCACGGAGATCTCGCGGCTGCCATCGCGCTCTTTGAAAGCATGGTCGACGGGAATGTCATCTCCTGGACGAGCCTCATCAATGGGTACGCTAGAAACGGCGAGTTCCATGAGGCAATCGACCTCTTCAGGAGATGGATCATACAGAAGGACGTGCCCTTGAGACCCAACGAAGCCATGTTGGTCAGCGTCCTCTCCGCATGCGCTAATTTGGATCACCACATAGCTCTGTTTAGAGGCTTGGAGATTCACGGATTCATCGTGCGGAACGAAGCACCGTTGACGGGATTCGTAGGGACCGCATTGATCGACATGTACAGCAAGCACGGTCACTTGGATTATTGCACAGATGTCTTCCAAGCAACCAGGGAGAAGGAAGTGTGCACTTGGAATGCGATGATCTCGGCGTTAGCCCGGAACGGGAGGGCGGCCAGTGCCCTACAACTGTTTGATGCAATGACAGCCTCAGGGCTGCGGCCGAACCACGTGACGTTCGTGGCCGTGTTGACAGCCTGCGCTATGCAAAAGCTTGTAGACCAGGGTCTGAGGTGGTTCGAGTCGATGTCCACCGAATTCGGGGTGGTGCCGCTGATGGAGCACTACGGGTGCGTCGTCGACCTCCTGGGAAGGGCTGGCTTCTTGAAGGAGGCGATGGAATTCATTAGGAGGATGCCTTTCGAAGCCGACGCCTCGGTTTGGGGTGCTCTTCTGGGGGCTTGCAAGGTCCATGAGAACGTGCAGCTTGGGGATGGTGTAGGGAAGCAGTTGATTGAGCTTCAGCCTTGGCCTGCCGGCCTCTACATGGTTCTGAGGAACATATACGCAGGGGCCGGACGATGGGATGATGCTGCTGGAATGAAGAAGGCGCTGCAGAACTCAGGGATAAAGAAGCCCACAGGGTACAGTTGGATAGTCTCCGGCGACTGCGTTTGAAGATAGCATCATCAACCATCAGAGAATACTTGAAGAGACCAAGGAGCAGCAACACACACCACCAGAACATCCAACTTATAGCACATTTAGTCTTTGATGCCGGTGTTTGGTTATGGTATGTGCATGCTGGTTTCGTTTACGAGCTTAAGCACATCATTTAGCCTTTTGGGTTGGAAGCAAAACCTCGTTGTTAGATGATCGCGTAGACAAATTAATTATGTATTTTAGAATAATTAATAAATTAATTATCTCATCAAATCAGATTATGATGACGAAGGGCCACATAGGTATATGAGGTGGACGAACATGTTCTGCATGTCGACATCATCAGGTCGATTTTCACTTTGTACAACTCAATTAATTTAGGGGAATTAATTGACAGATGTCAACTTAAATGATATGAATGCAACAATCTTAGCATATTTGTCTTCCTAGAATTTTGTTTTTAGAAATCAGATGTTGTTGCCTTCAATGGGCATTGGGGTAATGTCTTATGTTACGAAAAAACTTTATAAAGGATAAATGATGAAGGATGAATTCGAACACCTTTCAATCATCTAACAAAATCTTTATCAGTTAGTTAATATTTTTAAAAATATATTAAATAATAACTTTTAATAAGTAGATTTTATACATCATGAAGATATATCGAATTAAGTTTTAAACCCTCAAATATATATAAAAATCTGAATTATTTTAGAGGACACATGAAATGGATAAGATGTGGGAGCAAATTTATTAGATAGCATAAATTTATTGATTGGTTCTCAATGATGGTATGCTTATCTATGAACATAGTTTTGTTCAGGATTAATTATAGATTATTTATGTAATTAGTTATCTTTAGCTTCTCATTATTTATACTTTCAAAAGTTACATTAAGATATCTATATTTATAAAAGTAAAATATTTAATTTTATTTTTTTTAATATTTAATTTTATTTTTTTAATCTTATAAAATTCTTTTTTAATCCTACATAAGAATCTCGATGTTTTACTAAGTATAAAAATCTTAATATAATTTTTTAAAAATATACGAATCGAAATATTAAGAATAATTAATTATAAAAAATAATATGTAATTAACTGTGCATATCGAGCATCCTCGAATCTTATTTTTGTAAAAACCTTACGTACTGGGATCATTTTTATAATTTTAATTTTTATTTGGAAAAAGAACAACGACAAATGGAACACCCTACATCACGAGACTACATTACCTGACGGGACGCTGAGTCGTACTTTGGGTCAATCCCCACGTGCAATTTCGCAACCAGCAGTGGTCAAAATCTGAGCCGGCGGAGTCGCATCACACCAAGAACAACAACGAACCCAGTCAAATCCAATGCCTCGTATTCCAGGCTTTGACCGCTCTTTTATTTGGTGGGTTGAATTCAGAGCACCTGCGACGAGCTCCAACATCGACCTCGATCTCCCACCACGTGAGCAACGAGTTCGGCCGTTTAATTCCGCCGGCAACGTGCGTTTTGTTTTGTGTGACCTCATCATTCGCACCCATGCCTTTCTTAAATTCTCTACTTCACCGAAACAAATACTACATCGAATTTGCATCTGATTGATTACTCATAAAAACGAACTGTTTCATTCGAAGATTTGTATATTCATTAGCCAACATTAATTTTCTGTTGATTTGCTGCCTTTCTTCCCCACCGTCTACCCCATTAATAAATCACGATCATGCATGTTAAATAAATCACACAAATTGCGATGACTTCAACGGTTGTCACAAACGACATGTTCAATTAGATGGTTTTGACTCCTTCCAAATTCCCCATTGACATTTATATGGTCTACTCCGAGCTTTTGACAAACCCCTTGGAATTTCTCATGAGAAAGTTTCAAACTTAAGAAAAGATTAAAAGGGGAATTAAGAGGATAGTATGATATTAGTAAGAATTGAAAGAATAAAATTATTCATAATTCAATAACCTTAAGCTTTTGAGTTGAATTAATACCGATCCTAAACTTTTGGGTTGCACATAATGTAGTTCACCAATTCGATTCGAACGTAACACCAACATGACTCGATATAACGACCAATCATAAGGCCATTAAGAATAAGCCGGCGGCTACTTGTAGATACCAACGTTCTTCCTCCCATCTCTTCTGTCCGCATTCAAGTTTCACTTGTCCAATTAATTCGACATCCAGAAAGTACTTCTCCCTCCCATCATTGCAACAGTGCCCGTGCCCACTCATATCAGACTCCAAAGTGCATGATGAACTTCTCTACCTATACAAACAGGGCCACCTAAAGGCGGTTCATAATAAAGCCAATCCTAATGGATCAATCCAAGAATATAGCTAGGTGCCATGAATCTATCTAATCAAATCGTCAACAATTGCGAGACGCAATGCCAACCTCTTGAAGTCTTGGTAGATCACCTATCAAGCATATGCTCACATATGGGAATAAATTAACAGCATCTACCACTCTCCACCTTACTCCACTCTTCTGTACACAATTTTAATAGGCGGCATATCCACCCTTTATCTTCAAGCCAGCACTGGCATCACCGCTACGAAGATAAGTATCAGAAGCAGAGGATTGAGAAATAGCTACTTAACACATCAAGCAGCTTTGGCTGCACGTGCCATGCGTGTTGGAAAGGTAGCTGCTCTGCTGCATGTCGTGGAGCATGTGTCTTTTACTTTTCCATGCAGATTTATTTTGCTCGGTTTGGGAGGTGGTCAGGGAGCGATGTACTGATTGACTTCAACAGGCGCGTGCACGGCCGCCTTGGGCCAGCGGCGACTTTCTGTGGCCGCCCAAGTAAGAAGAGAATCAAAGCGCGCACGCCAGAAACCAACCCAGAAAACTTCCACCCACATATATATATGTGAAGGTCCTCGCTGAGTTCCGTTCTTTCTCAAGACGAGGTCACACGTCGAACACCTCGGTGACTATTCGCCTTCTCTTGAGCCATGGAGATTGGTGAGTGGCGCCGTGGCCGGATCATCGGCCGCGGAGCCTCCGCTACCGTCTCCCTCGCCACTTCGATGGCCTCCGGCCAGGTCTTTGCGGTCAAGTCCTCGGAGCTTTGCTCCCTACGCGGGGAGCAGAGGCTCCTCTCCGCGCTGGATTCCCCCTTCGTCGTCTCCTACTTGGGGTTCGATGTCACCCCCCCGCACGCGCCCGGCGCTGGTTTCCACTACAATCTCTTTATGGAGTACGCCCCCGGAGGCTCGCTATCCGATGCGATCAAGAGGCAGAGCGGTCGGCTCGACGAGCTCGCCATCCGGTCCTACCTTCATGACATCCTCAGCGGACTGGTTTACCTCCACTCCAACGGCCTCGTCCACTGCGACCTGAAGAGCCAAAACGTTCTAATTTGCTCCGATGGGCGGGCGAAGATCGCCGATTTCGGGTGCGCGCGTAAGGTTGATGGTGACGAAGAACGCCATCAGCCGAGGGGCACGCCCATGTTCATGGCGCCGGAGGTGGCGCGAGGGGAGGAGCAGAGCGCGCCGGCGGACGTCTGGGCCCTAGGCTGCACAACCATCGAGATGGCCACGGGGCGGCCGCCATGGCCGAACATGTCGGACCCCGTCAGCGCCCTCCACCGAATCGCCTTTTCCGCCGACGTACCGGAGTTCCCCAGCTGGATCTCCGCCGAGGGGAAGGACTTCCTGAGCAGGTGCTTGAGAAGGGATCCCCGGGAGCGGTGGACGGCGGAGCAACTTCTCCGACACCCATTTGTTGCCGCTTGCTTTGCGTGCCCTCGACCCGACTCCGGCACAAATTACGACCGCGTTTCACCCAGGAGCACTCTCGATCAGGCCTTCTGGGAGTCGCTTGCCGACGAGGGCGACGAGGCGGTCGGAGAACCATCGGAGGATCCATCCGAGAGGATGCAGTGCCTGATCGGAGGCGGCGCTCCAAGTTGGACGTGGAATGACGGTTGGGTGACGGTGAGAAGCCACGCCGGGGAGGACAGCCTCCCGGCGACGGGTTCCATGACCGAAGACGACCGATCAGTAAACAGAGGGGATAGCGGCGGCACAAGCATCAGCGATTTCATCTACAGCACTGATCGCATCGACATCGAGCATGTCATGGCCGATGTTGATGACACGAGCATTGCTCGAGTAGAAGAGGGAATCGAGAACCAAGTATTCACGTGTAAAAGAGAGGTCAACTTAGTTAATGGAAATTGCCATTTGGTCATCCACAAGGACCGAATTGACATCCCAAATTGGCCTTTTTGGCTCTGCGCATTTGATCTTTGGCTTTCTTTAATATTCTCCTTCTAACTCTCAATCACGGGACAGGATAGGTTGGCCACAGGCTGGATCCAACCTCTAGGTTAGATCATCTAATGCGGCCCTGATGAAGGCGATCAAGATCCACACCTCATTCTTTTCTTTAACTTAAATTACAGCATAATTTAGTTAAGTTCCTCGATGATCTACCTTCATCTTATGAATGTGCTAACTAATTTAACTGGTAAAGATCTTATCGCAACATCGTAATGTTCTGGATTCAAATACTATTTTCATTATTTATCTAAAAAAAACTAGCAAATAAAGTTGGAATAGCCTACCACACTACTTATCTTTAAAAAAAATAACAAGTAAAGTAGGAGCAGCCTACCACACCTCAAACAATAACAAACTAGAGGGAAAGTTAGATGGGAGAGAAGCGTGGTTGGTGCTCCTAATCTGTTCTATGGCCACCTGCCGCTGTCACAGTAATTCACAGCATATACAAAGGAAAAGGCCACAAAAGTAGGAAACTGCATTATTCAAGTATATCTAAGACGTAGTCTGCTAGCCTAGCCATATTTTTCTAATGGGGTCTCTTTCAAGCTCTAAGCTTTACAATCAATGTCAACCCCAACCCATTATGTTAAGTTGACAAACCAATTTGCATAAAGAAGAAGGATACAACAAATGCAACCACCATAAATTTCTACTAACTAGTATCTTAATCATGCTTTACGTTTAGTAAGTCTTACTAAATTAAAGCCCTAAAGATATGTTTTGTTGCCTATCCTGTTCTAACAAGCAGTTCAGTGTCTTTAGATTAGCTAATTTGCAACAATTTACAAGCCAATCTGACTATAAAACATTCGAATCCAGACTAAAATGAACAGTTTCAGTCAATATTTAAAATATGGTGATATCCATTATTACTTAGCTTCCAAGTTATCTAGCTCAACTTATAATATTTTTTTAAAGAAATTCTTAATGATATCCTTTCAGAAGAACATGTCTAGACAAGAACAAAAGGAGATTATCAAACTAAAAACATGATCTGTGACTTGGGTTGGTCCCAAACAAAAAATTGATAAAAGTAAAAAAGAATATTATAGTTCTAAATAATCACCTTCTACTACTAGGCATTTCTATAATATAAACTTGATTTTATAGTTAATCCTAAATTATATTTTTCTATTCAATTTTAATCTTTAATCGCTAATTACAATTTCTTAGTTACATATATCTTAAATGAGATCATGGATGATGGCAATATTAATTGCTCTTGTTACAATTTATATATAAGGAAAATCCACTAATGATATCATTTGACTATATCATTTGATTCAACCCAATTAGGGTAATTTAAAATTTTTGTTACAAATAAAATATTAAAAACCTCATATTATTGACTGAGGGGAAAGACTTCTGATCTCATGAAATTCAAATAGGTCACCACATAGAAACAAAATGTTGATTCTAAATGTTTTCTTTTTTTATAATAATTTGTATTAATATTACGACACAATATATAGGTAAGAAATCAATTTCAAGGTAATGTTACACCAATAACATAATAAAACAAGCATACAGACTAATACATCATATGATTCAAGATATAATGTACAAACATAATAGTAAAAATAATTGCAAGAACAGTATGCAAATTTCAGAAATTTGTAGACTAGAGTAAAAAGCGTGCTCACATAATTTAGAGGTCAATACTTACTGATGAATCTTGAAGTGCATAAACATCATACTGGGCATAATCCTTCAAATAACTCCATAATCAATCTGTTAAAAAGAAGGCCACTAACATGAGAGATCGATTCAGCTGGCTCACTGCCACTCTGATCTTTTTTCCCGACTGTAATGACTGTTGTTATAAGATCAGATTAATAATAAGGGAAAAAGCAACATCACTTGGTTTTATGTCTTCAAGTCAGAGACCTGCAGGCTTTGGTTCACTCCTACGTGATTTACGGAGCAGATTAAATATGGTTGTAATTTATCCACCTAATTCTTGCAGACGCTGGTTCGTAATCGAAATTGCATTCTACAATCTTGGATCAGTATATCTTTTTTGAATGTGGAGGAAAATATAACACAATTTCAAAACAATGAAAACCAAATAACCAACCACCAATGTGAACTAAGTAATATCAAGTACAGTGACCATCCATAAGAACTGCACAGTTTGCAAATAAAGATTCTAGATGATACCTCTTATCAGATTCTTCTCTCCATTCAACTTGGTTCGTCTGTAGGGATTTAATTCTCTTTGCAATATCCCATAGGGATCCTTGCAGTAGCTTTTCATAAAGAGACATTGGTGTAAATAATTTAGCATTTTATGATTTTTTATCTTTCTAATGGAATATGCTAGGTTTCCACAATAACCTAAACCAACGAGTAAAATTTGCAGAGTTCCAAAGTATTATAGTGGGTCGGTAGAAATGATATCATCAACTCTGTATGTCTTTTCATGTGCACCATGGACCAGCTCACATCCATGTATCGCCCTCATCTCAATGAGGCGAGTGGAACCAATAAGAACATGATCAGCATCATGGTGGGAGACTATCCAAACTTGATCCCACACAAAAACCAAATCTAGTACTTGCAGATTTATGAAGAAACATCAGAGACTTAAATAGAAGAGATGGTGATTATGCCTCATGTTTTAGATCTCAATCATCAAGATCTGGCACATACAAGTTTGTTGGCTAGAGCTATTTTGGTTATTTAACAAATCAAAGCAACTTTTCAGACCCCTTGAAATGGATTAAATACTGTGGATTAAATTGACATTCAAGATGTGGTTATCTTAGCTCAGGAAGGGTGTAGAACTGATAAGGAAAATAGAGGATTATACACCCTATATCCCAGATCAAGAAACTTGCAAATTCTAAAACTAACAACTAGAAAACTGAGGTCAAAAGTCTTCCTTCAAATATCCCAACCTCCAATTTCTTGCCTTATTTGCCATATCATCCAAGTATTGTCTTTAGAAAGAAGAAACCTATGGAAAATCTTCATCTTCCCACTTCAATGTTGCTTCCTTAAGAAAGTAACAATCAAAACTAAACCATATACCTCAACTTCTGAATTTAATAATTATTGATAAAGAATTCACATGATTTAATAATTAATTATAAATACTCTGGACCAATTCATATACCAAATCTGTATAATTTACTGACTCGGGGATGCTATTAAGCCTAGGTTATACGAGCTTCTTATCTTATATCTTATCAAAATTTTTTGGTCCTCTCAACGTTCTTTATCTAAATCATATAAGAAAAATAACAATTCATTGACAAGAAAATCAGGGTCATCTGCCATTTTGGAGAAGTTTGAGATTGTTTTGTTGTGTGTTGTATAGTAATTTTGGTCCGCATCAAAAAATAAATTGCTTAAACTTTAATATATTAGTTTCTTTTACCAAATATATTAGCTTATGAAAAAAATATCATCCTGTAGATTCTAGTCTTTGTATTGATTGAAACTTTGCATGGATGCATAGCTTAGATACCGATTAAAATGTGTCAAAAGATTTGATGAAAAGTTTATTTGCAAACTCATGGTAGCTCAATTGACCTGACTCCAGAAATGAGAAAACTAACAACTGCAGCCAGGTCTCCTGGTGCAACTTCATGATCTTTTCACAGAGCACTACCATCCTGTACATTATAGTCTTTGTCAAACCTCAGATCGATGTAAGTGGACAAAGAGAGTATTATACTCCAGGAGATACCAGTCGATATTAGTCAGAATAGATAGATGATCTATGAATAAGATAATACTGAATAGATATAACTTAATTTAATAACAGAAGTAAACTGTTACCAGCCAAATGGATCAAAGCATTGAGCTAAAAAACTCTAATCGATATCATCCTTGTATCTGCTTGAATCTGTGGAACTCCTGCACAAAGTAATGAACAACCAGAGTAAATCCACCATCTAATATTTCAAGATGCAAATCGATAAATAGAAGCCCAGTCTACAAAGAGCACTTGTCCAATGGGTAGATAAGATGGATAAATTACTCACGCTATTGATCAACGTCAGAAATTGGCGACACAATCAACCAAACAATAATAAGCAAGCCAATACCGTTCTTGAATTTCTTCGCATGCAAGCCAAGAAATGTGTCGGACGAATTATCGACAAATACAAACTCAAGCATAGTTTCCTTCCAATCTCAAAAGCAACCGACCCCATGCCGTGCATTCTTAATGAGGGTTCCGCGATTGCAATCCCGCGAAGATATTATGCAGCATGGCATGATTAATTGGAAGCCCTAACGTTTCCCGGATAGAGTGGCGGAACGACAGAGAAGCAGCGCGGGGGAACTATGAAGAATCGGCCACACAGAGATATCATTACCTGGTCGATTACGTCCATCGACGTCGGCTTCTCGATCACGGCGACGCGCAACAGAGCGGAGCACAAGGAGGACGAGAGCGAATACTCGGCTTCACAAAAGGAGCGACGAAGATGTAGGTGTGCCCATCTATCCGTCCACCGGCCCCTCACTTTAACCGCAACCATTCATTCAAATCAATTTCACCGGGAAAAGCTCCAACTGACGACCCTCATTCGTTTTTTAATTCAAATCAATTTTACGTAGGGTAGTTTCTTTTGGACGAAAATATCCTCAATCCTTTACCAAAATAATTTAATCACATATGTTATTTAAAAAATCGATAATTAATTATCATAAAATTTTACAAAATAAAATTTTAATATTAATTATCTGATTCTAAAATAATTACTATTATTTTTTTATTTTTTTGAGAATTTTATGATAATTAATTATCAAATTTTTAAATAGTATCAATGATCAAGTTATTTAAGTAAAAAATATAACAATATTTTCATCTAAATAAAAACTATTATCTCAAGTAAAAACGAATATGGATGCAGAGATTTTTTTCGGTATAATGTCCTTAATTTTGTCTATTATTTTCTTTTTTTAAATAAAAACAACCTTAATATTTAATACGTTGCGTGTTACTTATTTTATGCATTTGGTGACGTCGAAATATTTTGACCGAAGAAAAAAATATTGCTATTGGAAAGGAAGGAATCCAATGCAGCTGTTATCCTTTACAATACAAGTTCATCATAACATTCGTTATATGCTATTAAACTCCAATAGAAAAGGAAAAAAATGTGTTGAAGTTGAAATCGAAATGGAAATGGGTTAACGGTTTAGCCGAAGTTTTTGTTCGAGAAGAAAGATCGAAACCACTTGAAATTTCCAAATATGCTTCATCCCCATTACACCCAATCTATTATTTAAGAAATATCAAATTAACAAAAAGAATATTTAAATACAATATTTTGTTGTTCATCCCACATATAAGACGTGAGCAAGACCGACACCTGAACAAGTTAACCTCACAGAAAGTAGAAAGTCTATCTCGAAGCTTAGACCATAAGGCATATCTTATTTGTCCATGTCTATAGTACACTTATAAGCAAGATTGTCTTATTAAGCCATCTCTCCATATCCATTTATATGATCACAAGGGAAATGTGGCACATCCATGTTATAGATAAGCTTGCGACTATTAGAATGAAAACATTGTTTAAGTAAACCGTAATTCCAATACCCATTATATAACAAATCGAATACCTATTGATGTGCATTTCTCACAGGAAACATCAAAACAAGTAGGTTTTATGGATATAGAAACATCAAGATGCCAATTGTTCTTAATCACATTTATCTGAGCATCCATGAAACCTTAAGAAGATTGACTAGAGGAAATTTTCCTAACTTTCCAAAGACTCCCTCACAGACATTTTAGCGAACACATTCCCCGCACTGGGCTGAAGGAAACTACCACAGCAGTCGCGCAGGTGGCGCGTGAAACCCACCGCTGCGTAACCCCGAGCGAACAGACACTGCCATGCTTTAAAATTCGTGGGCCATGATGAGACGAGGCCGTGAGCTGGGAACTTTATACTTCAACTATACGTTACCTTTTGCCGAGCGGGAGAAAGCGGAAGGTGGCTTAGCCGTGGCAGGGACTCTCTCAACCGTCTGATCCAATCAGGACGCCAGGGGGCAAAATAGCAATCACGGTGTGATCAGAACCCAAAGCTTGGTTTATGCCTCCCATTCTTTCTCCTCATTCTTACTCTGGTCATACCTTTCCTCTTCTTCTTCTTCTTCTTCCGTCTCCTTTGGCCGGCACCTCGTTATCCCGGTCTCCGATCGCCATCTTCGTCGACAAGAGATACCTGTTAATAGCACCTGTCCGCTCTCCTCAAGGTCTTAGATCCATCATCCGATCTCATCGATCCATATATATATATCCCATGGCGGCCAACAAATTCGCGACTGTATTGCACCGGAACAGCCACCGGATGGCGGTGATACTGGCATACGCGATCCTGGAATGGGCCCTCATCATCCTCCTCCTGCTCAACGGATTCTTCGCCTACCTTATCGCCCGGTTCGCCGACTACTTCGGCCTCAAGCCCCCCTGCATCTTCTGTTCGCGGGTGGACCACCTCTTCCAGTCCGATGAGGGCCGGCGGCGGTGCGCCCTCCGTGACCTCATCTGCGACGAGCACGCCGCTGAGGTCGCCAAGTTGGGTTACTGCGCCCACCACCGGCGGCTGGCGGAGGCCGGGGAGATGTGCGAGGACTGCTCCTCCTCGTCCCGACCCGTTGAGGTCGCCGTCCTTTCATGGATGAAACGGATTGAGGAGGGGGAGAAGGATCTGAGGTGCTCGTGCTGCGACGTCGTCCTTGAGAGCGGGTTCTACTCGCCTTACCTCCTCGTTAGACCTTCCGTGGGCAACGTGGAGTATGACCAGAAGGGGAACTTGGTGAATGAGTTCGTTGTGGGCGATCGCAAAGTTCTTAGGGAAGATGATGCCTTGTGCCAAGAAAAGGTGGAGAGCGGGGAGTTGGTATCTGAAGATCAAGCTGATGGACGCCATGAGGAGGAGGAGGAAATTGGAGAAAAGTTTGGTGGTATGGAAGCGATAGGCACTCTCATTTCGGAGAGAGAGGTGGAAGAAATAGAAACCCTCATCGAATTCTCTGATGCCGGCCGATTGGTGGAAGATGCTTCTTTGGAACTCCTCATTCGGTATCCAGAGAACATACACGGTGAGGACAGGTTGGTTCCAGTGGAGCTGATTGACTCAGCGACCATGACAAATAGGCATGTTGCATATGCGTCTGGCAAACAAGATCAGGGAGAGCTTGGGCATGCTGGTGAAGCTATCAAAGTTCTTGATACCGGAAGCATCGGAGAGGAGAGAGAAGCAGTAGCTTTTCTTGGAGGAGGGACTGATGTTTTCAAAGTGAATTCTTCTGGATATGGTGAAATGCAGCAAGACGATAGGCCGTTTGATATCGGGAGCATTGCAGAGGAGGAGAAAGAATTGCTTTCTGCTACAGAGATGGCTGATATTGTTGAAGTGAATTCTTTAAGGAATGATGGAGTGGAACAAGAAGTGATGGTTCTTGATGTTGGATGCATCATAGAGGAGACAACATTGGCATCGGCTGTAGGGAGTGCTGATGTCACCAAAAAGAATTCTTCTGAGGATGTTTCAGCGGAACATCAAGTTGTTGATCTTGAATATACAATATGCATGTCAGAGGAGGAAAAGACATTGGTTTCTGCTGGAGAGAGGGCTGATTCTGAGATGGAAGGAGGCCAACAGCATGCTGTGACTCTTGATAAAAGAAGCATATCAGATGAGGAAATAACATTGATTCCTTTCGAAGAGAGTGATGATACCATTGAAGAGAATTTTTCTGATGTTGATAGAGCCCAACAGAATTCCATGACTCTTGATTTAGGAATCATTTCAGCGGAGGAAAAGGTTTCTTCTTTGCATATATTGGAAGGGGATGACATCCTCGAACAGAATTCTGTAGTTCTTTCTGCTTCAGAGCCTACTGGTGAATGCTTATCTGATCATCAAGTTGTTGCTTCTCTAGCAACACCAATCATAACACTTAAGGATGCTGTTGTTATTCAAGTGGAATCATTAATGGGCGAGGAAGATCTTCCTAGAACACATGGTAAGATGATTTGTGATTAGAGAAATAATTTAGTAGTCAGTTATTATTTTGTATGCTTATCAATATTGCTCCATCCCAAAATCAAACATAACTTATATTGATGACAACAGCTTATGAAGAAGAAAATAATTTGATCGATGTGGAGACCAATTGTGAAATATCTATAGGGAGTGAGATATGTGACCAGGAATACATGGATCATGCACATCTTCATGAGCCAATTCTAATGTCAGAAAACACACAGGATCAACAAACAGAGAGCTATAATGAGACGACTGCTACAGACAAAGGTAACTATTTCACATCAGCCCTTTTAACCATCTCATGGACAGTCAACTTTTTGTCATTTATATACGACTGCTTATGCTTTTTTCTTATGCCTTGATTATTTCTTTTGTTTGTTGAAGAAATATCAGTCACTGAAACTGAAGCAATTATGATTACAGTGGAGAACCCAGATCATGTAGATGTAGTTGTATCCCAAGAAAATAATGAGATTGAAGAGGAGAGGGCACCTGAAACACCAACTTCGGTTGATGGCATTCATGGTTTACATAAGCGGTTCTTATTCGGAAGGAGAGAATCAGGAACAGAGTCTCTTGATGGAAGTGTTGCTAGTGAGTTTGAAGGGTGTGAGACATTGGCTGTAGATCAGCTCAAAGCTGCTCTGAAAGCAGAACGGAAGGCCCTGAGTGCATTATATGCTGAGCTCGAGGAAGAGAGAAGTGCCGCTGCCATTGCTGCTAACCAAACAATGGCAATGATTACCAGGCTTCAAGAAGAGAAAGCTGCGATGCAGATGGAAGCATTGCAGTATCAGCGGATGATGGACGAACAGTCAGAGTATGACCAGGAAGCCTTAGAACTCCTGAATGAACTGATGATAAAAAGGGAGAGGGAGAAACAAGACTTGGAGAAGGAGCTCGAAGTTTATCGAAATAAGGTTCTACATTATGAGGCCATGGAGAGGAGACGAATGACAAAGCATAAGATCAATGGTAAGGCCAGAACATCTGCTTCATCAAGTGCTGAAGACAGTGATGACCTCTCCTTTGAGTTCCAGGAAGGAGATGAGCATACCTACAGTCCCGATGAAAGCAATCAAAATACTCCATCTGATGCTGTGTTAATTTCAGGGACAGATCAAGGCACTGAAAGGCATCTGATCACACTTGAGGAATCATTGGCTGATTTTGAGGAAGAGAGGCGATCCATACTCGAGCAACTGAGGGCATTGGAAAGTAAACTTTTTACATTGGATGGTGAGGACTCTCATGATTCAAAAGTCATAGACCACGTTTCAGATCAAAATGGCCATGTTTCAAATGGACATCGTGAACCTCCAGGTGATGATTTACATGATTATGCGAACGGTTTCTCAGATGAACTAGAAACTAACAGGAAGCAACCTAGTGAAAGAAGAAACATGGGCTTTAAAGGAAAGCAGCTTCTTCCTCTCTTCGATGCCATTAGTAACGAAAATGAAGATGATATATGCACCGAGGAAGGAGCAGCAGATGCTTCTCCTGAAACAATCTCAAATATTGCAGAAGAGCAGAAAAAGCTTGCAATTGAAGAGGAGGTTTATAACATCAATGAGAGGCTACATGCTCTTGAGGCTGATAGAGAGTTTCTTAAGAATTGCATTGGTTCCTTGAAGAAAGGTGACAAGGGAATACATCTTCTTCAGGAGATTTTAGAACATCTTCGTGATCTGAGGGATGTGGAACTTCGAGCCATGAACTCCTATGATGCTTTGGCTTCATTATCTGCCTAGTGTGCACACAAAATGAAGGTAATTTGATTCTCATCTTTTTAGATGCCATATTTATGGTGCAGGCAAATACTGCTTATCATAATTCCGCTTGCTACTCATTACAGTTTCAAACTGCTTTTATATTTTTACAGTTGGGTCTTCCACATCCAATTTCCACAAAAATTCAGTGCATGTACTAGTCACAAGTTTAACATATCTACATATCAGCATAAACTGACAAGCAAACACACATGCACACACACCCAACGTAAAGAAATAATAAAAGAGATGTCCCACCTACAGGGCATTTACTTGTCTGATTTTATTACAAAGGCCATTGAGAAGAGACAAGCTTTGAAATTCTTATCCCAGCAATCTTTGAACTGAATGGATTTCTATGACAGATGGAGGCTACCTTATCGGAGTTGATTGAACATCTGAAATCTAGTTGCAACAGTAACCATGGTATACAAGAAATGAATGAATGAGTCATGGTATGCAGGTTGGTCATACCAGGGGTGGAACTGAGCTCCTGGTTCTGTATTTTGTTGGTTGCTTTACAGTGTGTGGGAGCAGACCATGGATGGAAGCTGCTTTCCCAGGCCCAGCTTTTTGTGGGGCTTCCTTTTGTTCCATTTCTTTTCCCTTTTTTTTTTTCTTTTCTTTTGGGCCCAACCCCTTTGCTGTGGGGCAAGGTGGATGAGGCAGGGGAGGGTGGTTGGCCAGCCACTCATAATGTCATTGTAGTAGGAATCATGGCTTTCAAAGTTGTACAGAAGTTTAAAAGGAGAAAGTAGGGTGAATGGACTTCCTTGTGTTCTTTTTTTTATTTTTTTTTCTTCACTTCCTTTTCCTATAGAGGGAAAATGATAGCTGTATGCTGATCTTTGAGTAATGGTGTTTGAATATAATCAATATGTTCTGTATGTTTGGTCATTACATTATGTTCTTGACCCCTCAAGAACTGTAGTGGTCCTTGATATGTGCCTTTGATGCTCTCCACATCCATTTTTATACACAAAAGCTGATATCACTGAAACACCATAATGTTTGCTAGCTTTTTCAGTGAGGACAGGTCCAGCTGGTTACTTATACCTAATCCCAAGGTGGGACCATCAGGAAGAACAGGTAATCTAGGTGGGGTATGGCCTTCAAGATGTGCACATGCAACTTGATTACAGAGTGGCCTGGAAAAGGGAACTGGGGATTGCTTTAAGCATCAGTAAAACACTCTCATTCCTTGTGGTACACACTACCTATGAATGGACCTACCTAAAGGCATCATCTGTAAGTGTCACAGGGACTGCAGTTGGAAATATCTTTCTGGTGTGGAGTTGATGTGTGATTTAAGATTAGGTTTTGATCAATCTTTCTTAGTAGTAGTTTGCAAAAGTGGAAGAAGGGACATGTGGCCCAACAACCCTAAAACATGGCACTTTACTCTGCTACTACATTTGTCCTCAGATTAGTGATCTCATTCTCATGTTGGCCAGAAAACCTGCAGTATGTGGCCATCAAATGTCAGCCAAGTGATTGGCATTTATACATTAAATTTGAGATCAATTTTGAAGCTTCCTCGGCTTCAATCCACACACAATACAAAAACATCCAGCTGAGAGTAATCGGTTGTCTTGTCATGTCATGGTAGACAACCAACTAGAAGCCTACAGAAGCATTCCAAGAGCAACAAAAATGAGAGAGAGGAGGAGGTTGGTGGACTTGTCTGCAATGGTAGACACACACACTTTTGGCTTTTGCAGCCTTTGACTCCAAGTACAGACACATCTTCCAACTTCTTCTACCTTGGTGTGCAGATTGTGCAGGTTCAGCAAGAATGGAAAGAGAGTGGGATAATACTATCAGCTGTTGTTGATTGGATCAGTATCTTTGCTGGAGTTGACAGAAGGGTGAGTGTATCAAATTTATATGTCATCACAGTAAATCTGTAGAGATCATTTATATATTATATATTATCACAGTGCTAGAGATCATTTATTAAACATCATTTACTTTATGTAGACCTTGAAATTATGATTGGATCCGTTGTTGCCTCAATTCAATTTATATCCAATTTTAGATTAAAACGATCAATCCGAGATAAATGATCAGAGTTGATTGGATCTCCTTGTTTTTCTTTTTACAAATATCATAAACTTTCAAAAAAGATCAAAGTGAATCTTGTTGAACGAGATTGGACACTCATATTGAGCACTCTAAGTAGCTATAGACATGTCTTTCACCTCTTTCTCTTGGGCCTAAACGGATGAGATCTCTGTCGACACAAACATAAATCCTAATCTACTTGTTGAGTGAAGGGATTGGATACTCACTAATGTTTGACATTCTTGTTTATGTTTTATTTGTCTCGTTTTAAGATGAAATATTCTCGTACCGATATATTTCGATATCATATGATACAATCATCTAAAATTATGAATGATAATACGAATGCTATCGTACCGATATATTTTGACATAATATGATAGAATCCTCCTCTAATACTCAAGTCAAATAAGGTTCGAGTTGACGATAAAGATGAGCTAGAGAATGAAAAACATTTAAGAGATCGAATTTTATATACCATATGCGGAGACACCTTTTGTATTGTCGGGAATGATCGGTGAAGATTGTGTGTCCGGACATTAAACTGCAGCACTGCAGTTGGTTCGATGGGTACGATTAGCTGAAGCTGTGACTTATAGTGGCAATTTAAGTTCTAATTACACGAGTCATATTACATTTAATGGCAAACGATGCAGTCACAGTCAAACATAACACTGTGTTGGAATCGCGTCAAGAAGAGGAAGACACGTGAACGATGATGACAGAGGGGGACGCTACACGGCGGTGACGGCAATCTTCATGCCGGACTCGCAGTGGCCGGCGAGGCTGCAGATGAAGTGGTTCGTCCCCCGGGCCAGCGTGACGCGGTCGTTCCCGGAGGTGAAGACCCGCGCGGCCGGAGAAGCCGAGCAGCTCCTGTACCCCGCCGCGCTCACTGCCACCACGTTGTGTGCCCAAGGGTTGTACCTGAACTCTGCATCATTATTGGAATATTAAGTTAAATATTATTATGATTTTGATTCTTAACTTTTAATTAAGATAGGAATTAAGGTTAATTATATATTAACTTCTGTAATTGAACTCTGTTAGTATTACGATCTTTGTATTTAAAAAAATTATATTAAAATTTTTATAATTTTAAAAATAAAATAAATAATCTCATTTATTATAATATTATCGATCACATTGATAAAAAAATATAATAGATTACATCGACACGAAAGTAAAAGATAAAAAAATAATTTTAATATTTATTCCATTTCTAATAACTTTATTAGTAAAAAGATAATTCTAATATCTCACGTACTAAAATAAGCTCATATGTTTGCATCAATCTAGCGCATAATGTTATATATTATGTTATGTTGTATTTTTTTATCAATATAATTAATAATATTAGAATAAATAAAGTAAAATGATCTTAATATAATTTTTTAAATATATAAACTACGATATTAATAGGATACAAATATACGAGGTAATATGTAATTAACCTTAAGAATTACTATCAAGATTAGTAAAAAAATCTTAAATTTATCTATTTATATAAATAAAGACTCATGTAATATTTTAAACGTATAATTGAAAAAAAGATATAGATATAAAAAATGAGAGATTGTAAGTAATCATATATAATAGTTAATATATTTAATATGAGTTTTATTTATTTATTTATTTATGATTTTTCTTTTTTTATGCTCATATCTTTTTGGAGAAATAATAATTTACGTCCATTTTGTTAGTATTTTTTTTAAAGATAATAAACCGGATTCGAACTCACCGAGTACGTCGCCGGCCCTAAAGCGCTTCCCGCTGGGCCAACCGGCGGTGCTGAAGGTCCAGCCGCCGCTGTCGCCCACGACGAAGGTGGCGGCCCCGGCGACCTCGCTGTGGACGAGGAGGCAGAGCAAAGCGAGTCCCATCGCCACGGCACTGCCCCTTCCCTGAGCCATCACCCCTACAACAGACGAGCAGGAGAGGTTGTGTGGAGCGACGGAAAGAAGAGGTGGCCTCTTATGGGCAGTGTGGTTGTGGACAAGCGGAAGAAATCGCGGTGTGAGCAGGCGAAAGAAGACACGGAAATGGAGGGGAAGGGGTGGTGATGTCATGGTTGTCGCTGCGTTCTCTGCCCTTCCGCCATTAACGTGTCGCTACATGCTACCTTCTACTGTGCTCTACACCATGGTAGTGTAGCTTCTCCTGCGCTTGGTTGGTATTCACGGGTGCATTCACTTGGAGGGGATCGATGCCATTGTTTGGAATTGGGAGCATGTTCGTCAAAGATAAAAGGCAAGGAGATTCCAATCAATCATCGTACTTCATTCGACTGCTTGCTATAATGCAATCGAATATGATCGATGCCATTGTTTGGAATTGGGAGCTTGTTTGTCGAGATAGAAGGCAAGGAGATTCCAATCAATCATTGGAGATAAGTAGCTCATTCGACTGCTTGCTATAATGCAATCGAATAAGATGGCATCCGGTAATGGTCATATTCGAGAGGCATATGAACGAGCACCTGTGTTTTTAGCGAGCTGCTCATTTGCACTCGTCTCCATCCATTAGAGCAGTTTCTTTGTTGCGACGAGGTCGTCAATTTGTAGGCCTTCGGCTTCTATTTCCCTTTTTTTTGCCTTTCTTTTTTGGTTTTCTCCATCCATACAAGAATTTTTTCATTTTCATAAAGTTATTTCGAATATAATATTTTGTAATAATAACAATAATATCGATGATAAAAAAAAATAACATTGGCTAATAAAAACTTTACCGGTTGATAATTAGATCTTAGGATCAAATACCATCTTTATCGTTTATCAAAGCACTTGAATGATACTAGAACCTTGGATCGACGACCAACCGGATCAATCATACTCGACCGACAATTTACGACTACCAAACAGTTTACGAATAATTATGCAACAATTAAACTAAGGTTTATAGAAGGAGATCTGGAAGCACATCATAAGAAAACTTTAATGCAAGTTGAATATGTACACAACTGCACTATTTCTCGTGGCTCTTCAACCCGTGTTCGATAAGCTTCACCTTCTTGGAATTCTCCTTGTTCAGAAGTGAGAGCATTTCGAGTGATGATTTTATCTGCGACAACTGAGTGTTTGAGACATTCTTCCGACTCCTCGGTGTCGCACTAGCTGGTGAAGAAGATTGGTAGAATCTCTTTAGCCTTGCATTCAAAGCTTGAATAGCAGAATGTAATGCATCCAACTCGACATCTGCAAACCTGTCTGTCAATGAACAGAGATATCAAACATATTAGCTGATGGAATTATAGATTGGCGTGTTCGCTTAATGAGTTTCACATACCGAGCTCGGCCTTGAATTCATGTTCTGCTCTCGACAATGGTTTTTTGTTTGTGGCAGGCAGATTTCTGAAGTTCTGTAGACGCTGATCCAGAAGCTCGTACACTTTGAAGGAGCGGTTGATCCGGTTCCGTATGTCTGCTTCTTTGGCTTCAATGTTCAAAATAGACTGTTTTGCTTCACGTAGGCGTTTGTTTTGGTCGTTGAGAAATGTCTGCAGATAACCAGCATGTTCTTTGAGCTCCACATAGACCTGAGCAGCAGCCAGAAACAAGCCAAAAATATAAGAACTGGCACTAACTACAAATTTTGTGTTTGCAGGAAACCCCAAAAGTGGGTAAGTGTCTTAAGATGTTATCACAATGCAATCCAACATCTAAACATGTGAGAATAAGCTAAAAATGAACAGACAGCCAAATCTCAATTCTCAAGTTTAAACAGAAAATAATCAACAATGTTCAGGTGTCACTACCACATTTCTCATAGCTCGATAAGAAAAGTAAATCACCAATTGGATGGAATTACATAACTTTCCTATACATTAAACAGAAGTACAATCCAGTCAGAGAAATGAGGGTTGAGATGAAAAGCATGGATAAGTAGGCATATGTAGATTTAGAGAGGTGAAATTTAAGATGACTAAATACACAAAATTTACTGTAGTCCATAAGCATCTCTGGTCAAATATATAACAAATGAATAAATAAAACTAGATTATTCCAAAAAAAAGTAGAAATAACGATAAAAATGCCAGCTTCATAATATAGAAGAGTTGATAAAAATACTCATCAGAACACGTTTATGTACAAACATAGATGTATATGTGGAAGACAGGATTTTTCTGTGGTCAACAATAAAAATTTAATAGAAACTACAGAAAGCATCTGACTAGAATTTATCTTGAATGAAGAATATCAACCTTACTATAGTGGCAGTACCAACTCAGATGGAAATGCATTATTTGTTACCTTATGTGCGTATTCAACATAGTTCTCACGGAAAAGCTTGATATAGTGGTGAAGAGTTGATCGGCCCTCTATCGAATCAGCAGTCAATGAACGAAGAGTTGTTGAGGAAGGAATAGCAATGGCCTTTGGCCCAATGAGAAGATCTTTGCTTATGACCTCGGGAAGAGAAGCTTCCACATCAACTGCAGACCTTTTGTCATTATCATAATGTAAATGCAGTAATTCATTCCAAGCCTTCACTTCTAGCACAATAAACTCATATGATGTTGACAAGCTAAGTATCTGTGAGTGACCATACAAGTCAGCAATTGCAACAAATCCAAAAAGCACCGACGAGCAAGATTCACTAGATTCACTACTGCATGTATTTAGAATAGGGTATACAGAAGGAGGCTTTCCTATCATATCTGTGTCAGGTATCAGATTTGTAAATGGCAGAAACTGCAATGCAATTAAGTCTATTCCGCCACCATGGAGACAGTAAAATGTCTGATCAAGAAGAGGATCAGGAAATAATGACAAAGGGCAACTCTCCAACACATTTTTTGATAGTGCCAAATCTACAATAGCCAATCGTAGCAAAGGAGGTGGATGTCCCAGATTAGGTCTATTTGCCATAGAGATATTTGATCCCGGAGGACAAAACTTTGAAATAGGAATTTCTTCTGAGCTTGAATCACAAATCATTGCAACACCCTTTATATGACCATAAGAATCAAGATGAAGACGGGGAGAGGGACCAACATTCCACTGAGGCTGGACTTCATCTGCAAGAGCATCTATCTGTAGTTGTCCACTGCTCCAAGCAATCACAAGAATTGAATCTTTGCCAATAGATCTGTAAAGAAAATCAACGACCCTGCCTTCACCACCAGCAATGCTCTCAACCTCAGATTTGTTATTTCCCTCGCGGAGATAAACTTTGGTGAGAGGACCCTGGATTTATGATGCCAAATACTGTTACATTGGTGAAGGAAGAAAATGATATCCTACACAAGCTCAAACTGTCATGCTTGTAGAAAAAGGTGTCAACTTTAGAAGTGTTTCATGATGATTGCAAGCGAACAAAGCCTTTAAACTTTAATGTATCTTAGGGATACCAAGATAGTCATGGATCATAAGTACTATTGTCTTAAAATTTCTAGATCTCCAATTGTTCCAATGCTTAATAATTATAGCACTTGAACAAATCATCATATAGCCACTTCTGAGTGACATTGTTTTTAGTTATTGCCTGCTTCAAACTGGCCAAATAATCATCCGGCCAAATAAATATTGATAATTAATAAAAAGGAAATACTAAAAGATCCTTAGACTGTATGAGGATAACTGAACTGTCCACATTGACTCACAGGCTAATCTATTTTCCACCCAAGCAGTGTATGATAATAAATTTACGACCCCAATGCCAAAAGTCTAGTCAAATTGTGTTGACCCAGTAAATAGCTTCCTTGACATCCTAGTGCTAATTACCCACATAACTGGAATCAAAAGATCTATAGAATCTGGAATTTTAGAAAATGTAGACATAAGAAACAAAAATGAATTGGTTGACCAATCAATCTTAAACTCCATAAATATTCCAGATTGCTCATCCTTTGCTACGAGGCCACATAACTAGCAGAAAGGTAGCAACAAAATGCTCCGTCATCCAAGTAGTTGCCAACCCCAAATAACTGAGATTACAATTTTTTTTTTTGTGTGTTGATGCATCCTCCAACTAACAACAAGATATAGATTTTGGGAAATAATAGATAATTACTGCTCCAAACAACATATTATATCTTGGATATATGTCAACAACAAGTTTGCAGTGTATAAATCTAAACTAGGCAATAGACCATGGCACATATTGTCTGCACATGATCATTAAGCATTATCAAAAATATGAAATCTCATAAAAAGAAAAAGGATAAGGAAAAGCCCCAACTTCTTGGTTTGTCATCCTCATTCCCAAGTGTTGGAGGCAGATCTAAATTAGACGATTTCTATCAAACAAATATGAAAGATTCCACATCTTTAATGATGACATTCCATCTTTAATTAATTTCCTTAATAGAATAAGATCTTGATAGTCCTTGATATCTTTGCTTCGGCAAACCAAAAATAATAATTCAGGCCAACTCTGTTTCTAGTTTTTACAGGTGTACATATGGTGATAAATAAGGAAGCTACAACTTATAAGAGACAATATTAAGCCAAGCCATCTTAGAAAGATTAAGAGCATAAGCAAATGAAAACAATTGAGCACATTTCAACTCATATTAACTTCTAAAGAGCAAATAATTGGCTATCAGGATTCAACATACAATCACCATTCAAGATCCATGTTAGTTCAATCTAATATGTTAATGTTTTGCGATAATTACAGAAAAGGTTAATGAATACTGTTTATTTGCAAAAGAAATTCACGGTTCATTGGACTACAGAAACTATGAATGCTCCACAGATTTAAAGAGTTTCATGTCTATTAGAACAGAGTTATGGCGCCAAAGTGCAATAATGTCAGGGAAGTTATTCCAAAAGGCATACCTGCAATGAAAGTGATGCATCGATTGGGGCATAAGGATGAGCTGTCGAGACTAGTGTGCTGCCTCCTTCAGCTGATTGATCTGCCAGCTCAGGAAACGTAGCTTCCAACCAATCAATGGCCAAACGGGAGTTGCTAACAGCTTTTAAATCTGATGAATTCAAGCCAAACATATTAATATCTTCATAGATCTCTTCAATGTGTGTCCGACGGCAGATACTGCAAAGAACAAATATCGAATGTTTTTAATCAGTTACATAAATGACATGGATCTTTTGACCACAATGCAATTATGCATTTTGAAGAATCATTTATTTCAATTAATGGAATTCTTTCTCTCTTTGTTTTTAATTTCTTGGTTTATTTGATTCTCATCCCTTTTGATGGGTGTGGATATCTCCTATCTCACTAGGTATTATATAGCACAATGAAGAACTTGTATGAAAGAGTCGAAATAACCTTCCAAAAGGAACAACTGGGCAGAGGATATAGACCGAGCCATCACTGAAAACAATGAAAATCTGCACAAAAAATACAGATATTAAGTTGGAATTGCTTTGCACCCAAAGCAGGTAAAAGATAAAACATATTGGATAAGCAGATGTAAAAGGGCAAATTCCACATAGCTAGAATGTGTTAATAATTTCAAAATCATCAACAAGTTCTACCTCAGATGCCTTTTGTAAGTAAAAAGTAAAAACAGCATGATTTTATCACAGAATCCAGTTTCAAGCAATCTGAAAGTCCAATAAACCCAGCATGGCCAAACTTAAACCAAGGACAGATGCTAACTATTCAATTTTCTGTTGTGTCAATGAAGATATTTTTATAACGATCACAAGTAGATTGTCAGCAAATCTGAAAATAAACTTTTGAAGAGTTAAAGATGCAAAAATCATTCTAGCCTAAAAGCTCAACCTGGCTTAAGAGATTACTATTAAGGATAAGAGTTAAAGATGCACACATCATTCTAGCCTAAGAGATCAACCTTGCTTGAGAGATCATGCAACCTAGGTCACTTATGTTCATAGTAAATGCCAAGGGCAACCAGTTTTGGTTTTTCACTTTTCTAGGAAATATTTATGTTCTCATTTTCCAAGTTGTAGTTATAATAGAACTTAAAGTTATTTAGTCCCAGAATACTAGATTGTTGGGATCTCTTAATAATACATTTCCATTGGATATTCAAGTGCGCAAAAGAGATTTTTCATTGGGTATTCAACCACATGATATTAATAGAGAAGTTAAAGGATCTTAATGAGTAGGGGGTAATTGACGAAGAAATCATGGAAAAAAAAGATTAAAATTAAGAACAATGACGAGGCCCTGCTCTTGCACCTGACCATTTCAATTGTCAGCACAGTTTGTGTAGCTTACATTAATGCCAACAAACAAATAGTGACAAAGAAGTTCATAAAGAACTCGATAACAATCAGTATTGTGCTTATAAATTATGACACAGCAGTTCATGAAAAATTTAGTAAGAACCAGCACTGTGCTAAATAGATGCTTGACAAGAAAAATGCAAGTAATATCGAAATAAATCCACCAAAAGAAATACATTTGGAAACAGACGCATGGAAGACGAGTACTAAAGATATACTTACTGAAAATGTGTCCCACAGATGTTGGCCTCCGAATGAGAACGCTACAGGGCAGAATGAAGCAGCCTTTTTACATCTTACAGGTTCAGCGGGCTGCAGATAATATTCCTGCTCTGCTCGTTCAACATCAGATGACAAATCAAATAGTCTGCACACAGAAATTAACACTTCCTATATCAGAAACATGAACTTTTTATATCAACAAACTCTGCAGAATGAGGCTTTGGAAGATACAGTATGAGATAACTAGATAGCTTTTAATGAGACTGATAGATCATGTATAAGACATCAAAAGTGAATGATATTCATGGCATTACAATTGTAGTGCTAGTAAATTTGCCTCATTCTGAAAGAAAAGCATTTCAGGATATTTCCACAACCACATAGGCTAATAACCTATATTCACAATCGAACCAGTGTATTATGCAAGAAGGCAAAACTAATCAAACAAATAGCTATCAATATCATTAGAAGACATGCATCCATAAAATAGATATTTCCAAGGTCTAATTAACTGTTAACAACAAAATAAACACAGCTTCTGGATCAAACTATGTGGATCAATTATATGTATTCCTTCTTGCCTCAGCTTTGACAAAGGCAACTTTTCTGTTAATGATATCATGTCTGTTACTCTTGGTTGAATTCAGACACCACTACTTTTCCTCCCCTTTCAGATTCAGTATAAGAGGCTGCATAGATTGCAATGGGAAATGTGGATGAGGGGACAATCCCACAGATCGATACTCAATCACGTACATACTTCAGTTTCAAATGAAAAACCTTCATAAATAGATTTAACTATAACATGGAATCCTTACAGAATTGAGAAACTTTGAGACGAACTAATACAAACACTCCATGTTTCTTAGAATTCAATTTAACTTGGAAAAAACAAAATGCCAATGGGACTTTTTCAATAGGCTAAAGATGTTTTTATTTTTATTTTCTGGAAAAGAATGGGAGAGCTGAAAGGTGCTTTTGTGTTAGGATTAGTCTAAACCAATTAAACTCCTTAAAAAAATGCTTCAAGAAATAGAAACAAACCATCCAAATAAAAGTAGTAATGATGGTATTAGGCATATGGAGATAATTTAAGCAAACTTCAACATAAACAGTCGGTCTCAAGCTTTCTAGTTCTATCCACTAGATACATGATGTTTTGCTTGACAAGAGGATAGTAGCCCAATTCAGAATCAGGACATAAAGGACACAGATACAGGAGTCAATAACATATAGCATGATGATGTACTTCAACCACTGAATATGAAAAACAAATAACAGGGACATCAAAATGTAAAAACCTAAAGCTCATGGATATTTTGGCACTTAAAATTCATTATACAACAAAACCACAGCCATGTAACTTACGATTTCGAATACACACCTGAAGACAGAATCTGATGACAAAACGCCAAAATGACTTCTGCTGTATGGATGCCATGATGCTTGTAAAGTTTGTAATCCATTGTTTTTGCCAGAAAATATTTGAGAAGCAACAGAAGCTGTCCTGTTAGAAACATTACAAATTGCTTTTGTTTTAGTAGTGTATACAATAATGGCAAACATGAATAGGTGAATTGTCAAACTGAATAGGAGAATTGGCAAACATGAATAGGACAATAATGGCAAACATGAATAATTTCAAACTATCATGTTAGAAACATTACAGATCTCAAGCTGCACACTCTATCAACACCTTTCTTAGATAGTAGAATTGTCACTTCCACCATTAAGAATCTAACAAAGTTAAAGAAAAAAATAAGATGGAAAAAACCATAGAAATCTAACATACTGTTCCCTCGACCTACTTGCAAGATCTTTGATCAGTTGGAGAGGTCTTTTTGGATAGATACATGACTCTCAGACTGTCAGATCCAACAAGAAGCAATAATGATCCATCTACATTGAGAGAAATTTGATCAACCACTGATTCCATCTGGAAATCTGGCATCAAAACCTGGCCATTAAAAAAAAATATCAGTACTAACAACACTACAGCTGATTAATATAGAAAACATTTGTACAGATGTGAAATACAAAGAAGAAAGAGATGTCAGTGTCTATCGACAGGAATGAGTGAAAGATATATGAATTATGGCTCCATGAAAATTAAATGGCTGAGATATAGAATCTTCCAGGCATATCAACTGTTGAAAGCCCATGTCAAAATTTATTTATGACCAAACAAATAAAAGACATCTTTTGACAAATGAGCGGCATAGATGGCCCAATTAATCAATACTGGAATTTGAGAAGCATATCTACATGAAAGACTATTGACAACTTCAACAATTATTTCTCATCTCTTTCACAATTCTGGGGTTGTGATATAAGTAGACATATATAGAGTGCAAGGCCAATCTCTTAGATGCAGCTATAAAGATAGATTTTGATAGTTCCAAAGTGATTTATCAAAGTGGTATTAATCAAAAGCAACAAACATATCTTTTTGGTCATGTATCTACAAATATCACCTCTGTAATAACAATGTTCTATCTGTCTTCACCTTAGCAAAAGCCCAATAGATAACAAATACAAGCCAATAGCTGCAATGTCATAATGATTGATCAACCGAACAATAAAGACAATATATACACCAGTAGTGGATTCACATAATGTTGGGACTCAATTGGCAACTAGTTCCGATTGGTCATCATTATTTCTGAGTCTGTAGCTCCATTCCGTATAAGCATTCCATTTTGCTAATTACTTGTCCGAGTGGCTAGTTGGTCAGCTAATGAAGCCAAGAAACAAAATATCACCTAACAAAGTGAAAAGGTCAAAAAGAATAATTACAATTTGAATCAGGCTCTTCAGATTTGGAAACTTAATCCTGATATGGCTTATGTCTTCACTTTTTCTGGAGCTTCTGTCATTTATTTGTCTCATCAAGCTCACTATTTACAAAAAATGGAATAAACACAGTATCAATAGATAAACATTACCGGATATGATGGATATCAGAAGGAATTTATTCAAGAATACTACTGAATTATGGCAAGTTATCCAAGAAGATTAGAAAAGTAGCACACAAATTGAATAGATTGACTAACTAAGAGGGCTGCGATCTATACAAGTGTGATTATTTCTTAAACTGTAGTGCCAGACATACTAAAAAAATCATAACATTGCAATATTTCATTTGGACAAACCAAGCAATTGTTTGATACATAAACAACGAGATTTCTGCGTAAGTCTGAGAGATTTCACTTAATGCTTTCATTGTCTTATCAAAAATTGTATTAATTAAAATATTGTTCCAGCAATTGTTAAACAAACAACTGAGCTCCGTGACAATGTAGAGAGTCAAAGCACGCACCCACTACAAAAATAATTTATACAAGTAACAATAATAACAACACATGCACCCTTGGAGTATATCATAACAATCATGGAAGAATCAAGTACGTAAGTCAAACAAAGTAGTCGCACTCAAATTGTTCGACAAATTATCTAAACGAAGACAACATTGGACAACATAACTCACGGTCGGAAAATAGTAGTAATTCGACTTCCACACATCATGACTCAAAAGGAATAAAGGGGGAGATGGATTCGAATATTCGTAGGAGGAAAAGGGGAAGTGACGACCTCAGGGGGAATGGCTGCCTCCAAGACCGCTGAAGAAGGGGAGGAGGAAGGCGAGAAATGAGGGTCGGCGTCCCGGAATCGTAAGGAGAGACGAAGAACGCAACGTGCGACGGGATCCCACGCGTAGAGCAGCGAGGAGGCGGCATCCCAAGCCAAGAGGTTGCTACTTCTGCGGCTATCTCTGGGCGATTTGCCGCTGCTCTGGGTAGAGGAGAAAAACGGGTGCTTGTCGAGAGGCACCCACTGAAGGGGAGATCTCTTGGCGGAATCCACTGAAGGAGGGGTAGGAGGAAAAGGAGCGTAGCGGCAGCCGCCCTCATAAGCAGATGAGGAGACCGAGTGCTTGCCGGGGGTCACCAACAGAAAGGCATCTCTCTTGGAGGCAGCAGACGGAGGTGGAGGAGTAGAAGGAGGAGGGGAGCCGCTGCCGTCGTCATCGTCGGGTGCTGCTATCCTCGTCATTTCGTGCGCTGGGTTCGTGTGTCACCACGGCGACGGAGGAGCCGAGGAGGGCGCCTCGCTATAGGCTTTTGGTGTGGCGATATCGGTTAGTAGTCTCCTTGGAAAACAGATCCCGTCGCAGTAGACTTGCTCTATTCGCGCATCCGGATCCGGGTTCATCCATCAGATCCTAATAAGCGAATTAGATATTTAAGCCAGCAACACTTGATACTAATATAAATTGAGCGGATTCGGGTTGATCACATGGATCCGATAGATAAACAGCTCACAGAACGAGTTGCGTTCGCAGGCGAACTGCCGTCAAATACACAGCCTCCAGCCACGCTTACGCATCGGCCGTAGGGTTTGCATTCGAAAGCCCTATTCTGTTTGGCTGACTTCGGTGAGATGGGATACATCCAAGAGGCCAGAGAAAACCATGTCAAGAAGAAGGTGGAAGAAGGTACGCGCGCTCCTTCCTTCCTCACTCCCGAGTTCCCAATCCTATGATTTCTTCTCTTGGATCGGAATTGGAATCTTGATTCCTGCTTATTTTGCCTAAATTAGTTTTCCGATCAATCGTGCAATTTGTCTCTTAACATTTCCGTCTTTCCGCTGCAATGTTTAATTTGGAAATGTGTTGGGGTGACATATGGGCTCAGATTTTGCTAGCATAACTACTGGAAGGATTGGAGTGCATTCTCTTGCATTTATCATTGTAGTTTTAAGCATTGTGATGGTCTGTGTTTCTGCTCTGGTAATGCCGTGATAATCACAAAAAAAATTGTTCTTCAGTAGCAAGTGACTAAGGAAACATATAGTGGAATAACAGAAACTGATCGGCTTGGTCGACATCCTGGATGATAGAGATACCTTTGTAGAAGGTCTTGGTTATGATGCCCACTGTTCACAAATTGTGACTTTCTCACCTTTATATATGTGGAACCATTCGAAGCCTTAATCCCACAGCACCTTTAGAATCCTTATCATGCATGAACTACTGAAGATGTTACTCCCACAACTTTCTGGACGTGAAGGTTAGGTAAGTTGCAGCTTGTATTAGAATGGAGATCAACCCAAGGACCTCCATACGAGAGAGAATGTCTCTACCAACAGACTAATGGGGCAAAAGCCATCTAACTAAGACATCCAATTGAACAGGAGCCTTGGGGTATGGTCATTGTTGGAGGTGATGATAAAAGGCCAGATATTTTGAGAGTAGTTATCAGGGATATGTTAATCTGGAGGAGGTAGTGTTTAAGCTACCATATTGCCTTCAATGTTTTGTCCTAATCCATTATCATCTAGGTAACTTTGCACTGATAAGCAGTCAGGAAATATGTAGTGGGGAAAATAAATGCACCAAATGGGAGTCTAATCTTTTTTTTTTTCTCTTTTTTTTTTTAATTCTTTATCACTATTTTGTTTCATGCAGCTACACTGATCTTATTAATTATAGAATAGGAGGACTAATATTTTTTGAATTTTCATATATATATATATATATATATATATATATATATATGTATATATATATATATATATATATATATATATAGAGAGAGAGAGAGAGAGAGAGAGAGAATACAACTAATTTAGTAGAAGTTAGTGAATGACTGAATGATCAAGGATATCAATAGAAGCGTGATTAGAAAGCAAGCCACAAGAAAAGCATTTCTCCATGTATCATACATTCACAAGTAGTATTGCCAAAAGATTAGAAGTCATGGCTCGACCTAGCTAAAGGCCTACTATCCACTTGAAGGAACTAGAACAATGAATAGTTAAATCAAGGGAAGAGTTGTAAATGGTTATCATTTATAAATTAGTCATGGTTGAATGTTATGTCGAATAGTATAGATTATCTCTTTCTCCACTAATCAATTATACATGGTTAAGTGATTATGTGGAAAGGTGTGTATTATCTCTTTCTCCACTAATATTTCTTCTTCTGTTTGCTTATAGTTTAGTATATATTTATCCATGTTTTAATTTCTGTCTTGGAAAACTAGGAATCTATTTAACTAAATTGTTACTGAAGCAAAATATCCCATTGGCAGTATCTGCTAATCCTAGGAATAATTACACTAATTCTATAGATCATCCATCAAGAAGTAAACTCTTAATGCAGATCATTTATCTATCTACTGATTTGTTCTATTTCCCAGATGGTATTACCTATAATACCTTGAGTTAAGGAAGTGTGTTTATGAAGTAGCATGTGCTAAATTATCATGGATTTAATAAAGGGGCCAAGTTTAGAATAAAATACTACTGAAGGATAAACAAATTCAGTTCTAGTTACAATCCCTTGTTCTAATTACCTTTCTTCCTTACTCAACAATGCAATTTAGAAGCACTGTGTCCAGGGAAATCTTATTTTTTTAACTAATTCTTTAGGTGCAATTACTATGGCTTGCCAATAATAAGCACAAATTTATCTTCTTGCAAAATTCAAACGATGCATGTGTTTTGTTTTACGTCAGTCTCAATTAACTCAAGGTATAGCTCGGGATGGTAATATAGTAATATCGGTAATTTTATCAGTTTGTGGAACAGTTATGTCAAACAAGTCTTGAAGAAACACTGGATGGTATTATAATATTGCATGTAAAACTATATCATGTCTGAAGGAAGGGCATTAATATAAAGCAAGGACATATGGAACCTGTTCCAACTACTTCATGTAGCTGGCCTACTGATAGTAACAATTCATTTGTTCAGTAGCAGCAAGCTAGGAATACTGAGATATAGAACTTATCCATTATCAATGGTCATGGCATGTTTATCATAGTAGGATTCTATTTTCAGCAGATCCCACTAGTTATACTCGAACTCTGTGAAGTGATCAAAAGCTGCTTAGTCATTTACATTCATAAAAATACATTTATTCTACAATATCATCTCATGCATGACTTTATTTGTTGAAGAAGGAAATACAAGTCGTTGCGTATCTTGACCAGAAAATCAACAATATCCTAGTTACCTTCATGAGGAGGCTGAGGTTCATGCAATCATTTTTGTCACACATTTTTCAGTCTTGATGACAAATTTTGTGGAATCATAACAAAGGTGATTATCTGATAGATTACTAAAGCACAATATCCAATAACTTTGGAAGCAGAAAGAAACATGTCATAGAGATGAAACACTTGATGAGCAATGGAAATGACACAGAGGAGAGTAGGTAGGGCTTGCTTAGGTCTTTTGAACCAAACTATGAATTTTATCTATAGATTCTTACTAATTTGTCATAACATCATCTATTGAAGATTGTTTTTGTTGCATATGCACTTGTGTATTATGCAGTGAGGTAATATCAGATTCTGGTTAAGCTGTTTTAACCTTGTCTAACAACCTTTTGCCATTTACTAATTTAATAATTGCAGCTTTACGCAGCAAAATGAAGCAAAAAGCACTGAAAGAATGTGACAAATACTGTGCAAAGTATGCTGAATGTGCTACAGGAAGAACCTTTTCTGTTGTTTGGCGCTGTCGAAAACAAGCAAGAGAATTGAATGAATGCCTTCATCGATAGTAAGTTTATTTTCAACAATTTTATTTTCTTTCACATCAATGTTGGACATCCATGCCTTTTCAGCATAAATATATCAATACATGTTGAAAAATGATTTCTCTAGAGGAGCAGCATGGAGCATTTTCTTTCACTATTATGCTGGCTTCTTCTTATTTTTTATTTTTTATATTTCTGTGGGCTTGATTCTTCTTGTAATGTTGATGTATATTCTTCTACATTTTTGTCCTGGGATGGGATTTTAGCTTCATATTTTCTAGTTTCAGATGTATAATCATCTTTCTAATCTTTGAAGTTATCAATATAACTGTGCTTCATGTTTGAGTTGTCAAGGATGGTTGATGTATAACTCTCGCCCCCAACATGAAGTATCAAATCAGATGAATGCTTTCTGCTTCACCAAAACAAAAAGTTTTAGTTTGCAAGTCAAGTTGTATACGAAAGCTTTAGTCAATTTGCAGCGTCATTCTTTAATCACTTAGATTGTTGAATATTCTAAATTAATCTCTTATTCCAAACATCCTCTTGCATCCAATCTTTAATTATCTTTTCTGGTACTTTAGACTTGACGAAAGAGTATGATTTTGAGCTGAAAGATTTTGAACAGATATACTGATTCATTTGTCCTTGGCAGTACCAACGACAGTGTCTTGGAAGAAATGAAGAGAAGTTACGTCCTCGAACAAGAAAAGCAAGAACAGAAATAAAGCAACAACAAGCTGATCTGCTTGTCCATTTGGATATAATGAATTCAGGATATTGCATTGCTCCAAAACACTTTTGACTTGCACCTCATAATGATGTCTAAATGGGAAGATCAGATAGAAGTTTGTCTCATTTTCATTCATTGTATGGTTTCTCCTTTCACTTCCTTTTCCCCTCTCGATACCGCCACCTCTAGATTGTATGATCTTTTGACCATGCAACTCGTATCTCTCATTAATGTTATTTAAGAGAGGCCGCTGCTTTGCCACATCTGCAGCTTGTTGATGTTTAGATGCCGTGTTTGTGGCGGCGTTGGAAGTCCATGAGCTACTAGGCCTTGGCCTGTTGTTCCTGTCGGCATTGGAGTACAGCTTCCAATGTAAATATATCGACATTGAAGGTGTTTGATTCGTGCCAGAATCAAATCAAGATTGACATGCTATCTTCAACATCCTTGGCGAAGATGCAGTGAACCACACAAAAAGGTTGAATTCTAGATTTGGAGGAGATATGTTCATGATTTGACGATCTCAGAAGTCAAACAACAGTTGAAGACTTGTCCCCAGTGGCTTGAGATCAGCAGAATCTATGCTACCGGATGAAGCATCCGCATCCATTCCATAAAGCTTTATAAGCTTAGCCAGTGGCAGTCTATTTCGACTGCAAGTTGCATTTCGACTGTACCGCAGTGTCTCATTCACAAGCCAACGCCCCCATCCAGAGACCTCGAGAAGGTACGCTCGTCTTTATTCCGCAGTATATTGGTACTTTTCGGCTCTCGAGTCTCCATTCAAGGTTTATTCCATGATCTGAAAGGATTTTGGAGTTGACCTTGTTCGTGTATGATGCAAATTGCAGTACCAGTTGAGTTGTTCCAAGCGTCACGCAATCTTCCCCACCAGATATTTGATGAAATGATGGCCGGATGGATTCCACAGGACAAATGGCTGAGCAGATGCTACAAGTCACTCGTTGCGAGGAAGCCATGGATCATCACCCAAACAGGTCTTCGGATAAAAGCTAAAGCAGCAAAGGCTTCTTTTTTCGCAGGCATCGAGCGGGGCGTCACGTGAAGCTGGAAGCAAAGGGGCAGCAGTAGCAGAAGCTGCTGCCTTTGTCGGCTGAGAGTGAGAGCTGCGGTTTCTTCAAAATGTCTCCAAGAATATTTGACATGGTTTTGCTTTATTCTTTGGGCGGCAGACCCACCATTTTCGGAGCTTTATTGACCCAACTCCTGCGGTCCGAGAAGAAAGAGGAGGGCAAATGGGCGGACGCCATGTTGGAGCCATTCAACCTCATCCAGATTCCTGTATTCCTCTTTTTGGATGTTTCAATCTTCAACCCACCAGATTCCATTTACTCGACGACTTGGAATTTGGGTTATTCTTTTCTTTTACTTTACCTTTATTTATATATAGAATGTGTGTAATAGCATGAGTATTTCATAAATATGATCTATATCAGAAAACATACTCTTTCAACGTGTTGTGTTGAAGTTATAATATAAAAGAGATCTCATATTTATTGATATAACCATCATATATTTTTCTTGATTTCTACCGACTAATAAGGATTTGATCTCCTTTCATTTAGATTGATTAGATTATATAAACAAATAATTAATATCAATAAAATTGTAATTTTTTTAAATATGGCATCGAAGTTATCATATTCCTTTGTCATAATTTGATTCTATAATTTTTTTTATTCTATATTATATTTCTCCTCGCACCAATGTTATTACTATAGTAAACAAGTGGCGTCGATCGAAAACTACATTAGAGGTCGAAGGAACAAAGGAATAAAGTTATAAACTTGTTTTCCTTCCTTTATTTCTCATATATAACAGTGTTTTTATTCTCGAAACACATAAAAATATGGCTTAAGAGTATATACATGGCATTGCACACATTCTATATATAAAGGTATAACTGTTGTGACATATAAGAATCATCAGGAAACCTCCTAATGCCTCTTTGTTTAATACAAATGACCTTTTAGCGTGATTAGTGGTGTTTCTTTCTTGAGTTCGAGATGTGGACGCTTAAGAAAATAGATATGAGTGGCTGAATCGTCTTCCCATTGGACAAACAAACGATCAAAATTGAACTCATCCACTGTAGATTTTTCATGTCGGATAAAATGATTTAGAGTTATATGATATTCACATCTGCGTACCATGCGATTCTCATTCCAAGCTCATACTATATAAATATATTGTCCCCATTCGTATCCATTGATTACAAAGCGTAGCACTTCCAATATCCACTTACATCTGCTTGGGTGGTGGGATCCATTATGGGTGACGCCTACATCCTGGTTTGGATTAGGTAATCACTACTGGGACTTGTGCTGAGGGTGTTGCAAAGACTGCTCCTACAATAATGCTTTATGACTTTTGGGTATATGGGGGAAAATTGATCTTTATGTTTAGACTCTAGGTATCAAATAAACATATCTAATTTACAATCTGTATGCTTTCCACATTCTATATATGTACTATTATTCGATAAATATTAATATGATCATTATGTTTAATCAGTGGAGATTCTGATGTAAAGTTTGATCATTGGTTGCCACCTTTGAAGTCATTAAGAGTTATCTATTATGAGATGAATTTATTATCATTTGGAAATGGCCAAGAGAGGTTATTTTTGATCTTTTATTATGCCTTGACTCTCCAACCAACATGGGACCAAATATGATTTTATCAAAACCTCATAAGTGGAAAGTTAAGATCTTTTCGAGTCATATGTTAGGTGTCATCTCATACAATCTATATTATTCATCGGGGACACAAGATTTTCGAGCTGCAAAGAAGGACTGCACACATAAAATTATGTATTTTAATTGGAGTTTTCTTGTACTCTCAGATGTAGTTATGATCTTTTCAATTGTAAAAAGATAATAGTTATGATAATAGTGAAGTCAAAATAAAATAAACTATAATGGTTGTGGTTACATGCTATACTTTTGTGGTGGGGGACAAGATTCACTTTGCATTGTTGCTGTTGAAATGGATTGTTTTAGATTGGTCCCATGAGTTTGTCATCCTTGGATCATGTCATCTCTTGTGGACTAGAAGCCTTTGCACCCATGCAAGGCACACAGCTAATAAACCTGATCATTTGGCTTGAATTGAGGATTAGAGACATTAATATTTGATGTATTTGTCTCGTTTGTGTTAGGTCGAGTCAACGAGATCTCATTATATATCAATTAGCTTAGTTAATAAAAACCTTGACGGTTAATAATAAGATTTTAAGATCAAATCGAAAAAATCTTTAGTCCTATGAGATGTGGAAGTCAATGTTTGGTGAGGTTGCCTAACTAGTGATGCAATACCTAACAAAGCAAGAGAGAAGCAGCATTGGCTTGTATCTTTTCCTTGAGAGGCTGTTGTCAACTTAGCTCTCACCAAACCACTGAAGAGAGAGAGAGAGAGAGGAGAGAGAGAGAGAGAGAGAGAGAGAGAGAG